TAGATGAGCACCCACACCCACCCTTTTTTTCCATTTCTTGTCTGGGACCGGCCGGGGGGGGGGGGGGGGATAAGAGTAAGGGCGAAAGCACAAACACACTACATCTCTATGCTGAGAGTGAGAGCGGAAACATACACACAGCATCTCTCTACTGAGGGTGAGGATACGAGAGATGCATCTCCCTGATGGGCCCCAGGCAAAATATGAAAAAAAGAATTTCATCAGGAGATGCTGGGAGATGCCAATACGGAAGATGTGGCATCTTCTGAAGAGAAGTATCATGAGATTTGATATACCTGTAATAGTTGAATAGTGTGTGAAAACGTAGTATGGCATCTTCAGGATCTCCCGTTGTATTTCCAGCATTCTCGATATTCTGAATATGTGACACATCTCTATTATGGAATTATACGCAGTTCAGAAATGAAATCATATCCATTTTTCTGAACTTGACACAGAAATCAGGGCAAATCTCTGGCTGGAAAATAAGACATCTCGTACAGCGGAGCGACATTCGGCTCAAATTACATGAGAGTTTATCAGACTCAATATTAAAAGCTAGTATAGAAGGATATGTTGCCCATAGGATCTGAACTAATTACAGTACTGACCAAAAGTATGCTTCCCCCTTGGATCTCAGTCACTAAAATAGTGACTGAGATCCAAGGGGGCGGAGGGCAGAAATACTTTTGATCAGTACTGTATATATCGTTCTATTTTGATGTCTGTTGTATACTAATACTGTTCCCTTGTTGAGGATTACTACTGTTTGTTGTTGACGTTCGTACTTTTCACATTTAAGTATTTAAAATACAATCAATTAGGAAAAGTTTATCGAATTGACGGAATTTCTTGTTTCTTGCTTTTAGATTAATGATGGTATTTTCATGTGGGTTAACTTTCCTTATTTTTGTACTAGCAGTCAAATCTAGTTCAAGTTTAATTTGTTATCAATGTGATGGAATTGTGATAATAGCTATGAATTTAACAACACCGCCTGGTTGCGTCAAAATGGATGTAAACAAAACGTATTGTACAATAGGAATTGGTTTTAATAATGGTGGTAAAGGATATACGTATAACTGTCGGATCAGAAACGTCTCATCAAGCATATGGTTACAATGGAAATTTTGTTCTACTTGGCTTAACAATGAGAAGTAATGGGTCATATGAATATGGTTTTACCTATCATTGTTTAACAGATGGTTGTAATGAACCAAAACTCAGTAAACTTCAATTATTGTTGGATTCAACTACAATAGAACATGATATAGACAAAATCTTACCATTGTTATATACGGCAACACCTGAGGCTGCATTAATATGTTCAAGATACACAAACTTTACAGATCCCAATAGATGCTATTCAGAAGAAATTAATATTTTATGTTTGACATGTTTGTCATCTATTGATGGAATAACAAATTCGCTATGTGAAAAATGTTTAGAGAATGCTGAAATAATTTCTAATCTTCTTCTTGATGAACGAGCATATTTATTAAAAACAAGTAATCATAATTTTGTAGTACATTGCAACATTCAAGAATGTAATAGAATGGATAAAATTGAACAAATTCGAAAACTATATCGTTATGATTTTGATTATGATAAATTTTTCGGTCGATCAAGATCGGCTTTACTATTCTACAACAAAAATATCATTTATTTTTTTGTAATTATTTTATTAATTTGGAATACATTGTGAAACGGGTTCTACACACATACGCATACATACTCATTTTGTGACAGTCTCGAATCTTATAGAGTTCATATATGAGGTAGACTAGTTGCACGGTCACCCTCCATCAATCAAGTCGGAAAAGGACAGAAAGTCATTATTTCGATTGTTTTGTCTTTTTTATAGAGTTTTTGAGGCATTCTTCACTCTTTTATACTCAAGTGTCAGTCTACCAGACGATATAGTGACGAAAAAGTTTAACAAGTAAAATTTTGTTTTAAGTTGTGCTTAAAAGAAAGGTGAAAAGTTTGACACCGTACCCCATTGGAAACTGCTCTGACAAGATGTTTCATAAGACGTTATATGACAAACTCAAAATTGTGGATTTGCGCAGAAAATGTTTTCTTGATTGTTTTTCTCAAACGTGACTTATTTTCATTTTCAAATGTTCTGCTTAGATGCCAGTGACAAAAACATTCAACTCGATCCGTTGAATCGTTATTATATACCTCTAAGAGCAAAAGGAGGAACGCGATTACCTTTCAAAATCTTTTATGATTCTGCTTCGATTGGTCGAAATTTTGCTTCAGCTATCAAAAGGTGATTACGCATATCACCCAATCCAGGCTGTAGATCCTACCGAAACAGATCAGTTTTGGGCGAATTCTTTGAAACAGGATTCTGGCCCGGATTATGTCGGAAACAAGTCGGTCCGATCCTTTAAAATCTACTTACCGGATTATGTTAGATGCAGCGATATATGGCGTTTGAAATCAACTGAAATGTGTGAGAATTCATATACTTCCGACAGTAAAACCTAAAGCGGATTATTCCAGAAAAATTCGCTGACACTTTTTATAATCTCACGAAGGGTGTGGGGTGTCGGTGTAGTAAAAGGAAAAACCCACACTCACACACCAACACCCATACACACCCACATCCACACCCATAAGTTACTGTCTAATTTGTCTAATTTCAAATATTGTCTTACCTTGATATGAATAAGATGTAATGAAGCCTGAAAAAGAAATTGTTGAGTTATATCTATACAGTATTGTCTCGATCAGATCATTCTCCAAATCTTGCAAAATTTTCGTTTTGTCTGCTGAATTTTTTTTTCGTTCACCTATTCCTCGAAAAACGTTAACTCTCTAGTTCTGTCAATCTGAGCACATTTGTGATTTTCAATATCCAGAGATGAACATGCATTTATCGCTTTTCTTGTCTCTAATGTGATAAATGTCGATCGATAAAATATTATGATGTAATACATTTTTATGTAATTCGTATGATTATTGCAAATATTGTAAATTTTATTTTATTTTTATTACAAAACAAGTTAATTATGTTGAATCCATTAAATCTGATCAAGATCATGCTAAAATTATCGCTAATATAAGTCAATTATTAGAAAGAAAACGATAAAATCTAGCTTCAATTAGTTCATCAAAAAAACCTTTTCTCGAATATTTATTAATTAAATTAAATTCCAATTATCAAGATGCAACTTTAATTCCATCATTACCAAGAACAACCTCCTAGAATATCAAGACTAATAATAAATTTAGTACCAACAAATAATTCAAATAATATAAATCGTATTATTTAACAAATAGCACCCAAATATAATATTGAATGTCGTTGAACTTAAACATATGATGAACTTGACAAATTGTACAAAAAAATATCTGTGCACATAAACAACTTTATATATATGATCAACGTCGTTCAAATTTATCATCATAAACATCAACACTGATGATAATAACAATATTACCACGATCACATCATTAATATGTTTGTACATTATCAACCATATCTCATTGTATATTACTTCTTCGTCCATTTTTTGGCATCATTAAAAATAATCCATAACAAATAATATATCATTAATTGATGAATTATTATTAAATAATATATGCTATACGAATCAATTAATTCGTCGTGATTTATGTTTATTATTTTGATATTTAACACGTGATCATATACAATTTATCGATTATATAATAACAAAAATTTTTCATAAAATTGAAACAATATATCAAGAAAAATTAATATTATCATCATTATCATTAACTAATTATGATTTATTAGTACTTTTTTTCATAAATACAATATTCAAATCAAAATGATCAAGGTCAATGTTGGGAAAATAAATTACGTTGTCTATTTAAATTATTTCATTATTTATTAAAACACTTTTACAGCACAAATACTTGGATTAATAACATTACTTTATTTAAGAATATTATTATATTGATCAAAACCTTGAACAACAACAACAAATACAATATTTAATTTCATTAACATTGAAAAATTTTCAATAAAACAAATAACATATGAAGATTGCTATAATAACAATAATTTACATGAAAATATTTCAATAATACTAAGTTATTTAACATACAAATTAATTTAAACATATTGATCCAGGAGACAGCGCAGTAGGAAATAAATAACAAAAATATGGAACAAATAACTGCTGTGAATATCATTTTTAAAATTTTATTTCAAACAGAAATAAAAAATACAACATTCGAGCTTTCGTGTTCTAGTCTGAACACATCATCAGGAATGAGGACGACAAGTGGAAATTGCAATGAACAGAATATAAATAAAGAAATTACAAGAACAATTAGAAAATGTGGAAGTTTATACGTGAATGAGAAAATCTTTTAATTATTTAAGTTAACAATTAAATTATGATGTATGTCTATGAATAAGACTATGAGTTAATAATGGAAGAAAATAATGTTTAGTTGTATAATAAGATTATATGTATATTATAAAGAATAATATGAGTTGATGGTTTACGTCGATAAGAATATAGATTTTCAAAACTAATAAAAGTAAGTTGCCATATTGAATAAGAATACGTATTTATATTAGATAGGAATAAGCGTCAGCAATCAAAGAAGAATATAGGTTATTATTTTACTGAGTATTGAATAGGAATATAATTCACAAATTAATAGAAATACGAGTTGATAAAGGGTGCGAGTGGATGTGGGGTGGGTGTGGGTATGTGGGTGTGGGGTGTGGGTGGGTGTGTGTGTCTTGTCTTCAGTCACACACCCTAATTCAACATGATTTTGCATTGTATCAAAATAAATTGATATATAATCTATTAATGCAATTAAATATGGTTGATTATTAGAACATGATAAAAGAGTTTTTATATAAATTGTATCAGGTGTTGTTTCGACATCATTTAAATTTATTTTATTTGATATTAATCGTTGTGTTGGTAATGAAAAATAGAGATCATTTATTTTTTTAATTAATGTACCTGTTGATGCACGCCATAATGATGAAATATTAATACCAAGGATCAGACAATGAGGCATTGATAACCAAACAAAATCCTAGGAAGACAAAAAAAACACAGATTTATACTGTTTCTTATTTTCTCAAATCAATTTTCCTTTATTATGAGAATCGTCCTAAAAATTTTATGCTATGGAAAAAAATAATGACTTGAACATGGGATGCAACGTTGATAGGAGTGTGATAATCAAGTGAATGTATAATAAAACTACGATAGTCTTGAATTAATTTGGATTTTTTGTTCAGTTAGAGAGGCTATTGCAAGAAAATAACTGAGTTTTAAAACAATAGATTGTATGTTTTCGGAGTCCAGGAATTCAAATCTATAAAAAGTTTGTCGAAATCCTCGAGTCCATTTTTATCATTCAAGCAGACTTACGAGGGAATATTCCCAACTGTCACATCGCTTTTGAGTCGAACGTATGCGAATTATGTAGACCTTAATGATCTATGAGTTCTCTGAAAAAATTTCGGACTGCTAGCTTATTACTGCCGAGATACTGTATTTGTACTATATGTTTGAGAAAAAAAAGCCGTGGTTCCCCTCAGGAACACTGGGAAAATTGCCTTTCGAATTTGGACTTGAAACTTTGCATAGAGACAGGCCTCAATGA